ATCAATTAATCAGTTGATAAATACTTACAGTTTAGTTAAGCTGGTCATGTTGTCAAATATTCCCTCTGGCAACGTTTGGAGTTCGTTGTCCGAGATACCTCTATGGTTGGGTTACAAAAAAAGAAAAAAGAAGAAAGAAATCAGAAGTCCAGATTAAAGCAATCTATACTCTCTTCTACAATGGGCAGACCAGCTTTTTCTCACTTAAGATCGACTCTAAAAGTTGCATCTATTCGTTCACTACCCTCATGTAAGGGCATGACTGACGTTCTTGCTTCTTCTCGTTATTCCAATACTTATTTCAAGAATTATTCAGTTGTTCATTGTCAGGCTTGAATGAAATGATATTTGGTCAATTTCCATATAGAATATGGAGAATACATAACAATCCATTTCCCCATAGCTGCACAGATAAAAAGAAATTGAGGAACAGGTAAGTATGAACAAGTGCAATTTATTTGAATCAATTGTCATAAGATTCCTTTTACGATAATGAAGAGCCCACTAAAATTTGCCGCGCTCTCGACGCTTAACCCTTGTCTCTCAGTTGGTAGCAGCAACCAAGTACTATCCGGTAGCACAAGTTTGATTCCTGTCGCAGCACAAACATCCTTGAAAGCTTCTTTTTCGAAATTTCTTTGAGCGTACGGTCAACTTGCAAGGATTATATCGTAAGTTAATTCTTATCCACCGATCAAATCAAATTCATTTCATTTAATTGCAACCAATTTAGTAGACCGCTCGGTTAATTCAGTCCTACATAAGGCTACGAAAAACAACTGACATTTTACTTTTGTTTGTTGACAATGATCAGCAGACTCACTCAAAGGATAAATGATAAGTTTAGTAAACAATACTTCACAATTTTTACCAAGGTTACAATTTAAAATACTTAAGTCAAGTCTATGAGAGAGAAATAACAAAAACGCCATACGAAACGTATCTGTTGATCATTGTGGCTGCATGTTGAACTAAATTCTTGATTCTTTATTCTTTAATCAAGTTTCAGATTTACAAGTAAAATGACAAATCTGAGGAAGTCTTAAAACAGAATAAAAGACTCCTTAAAAATAAGCTACCTATTATTACATCTACAAAATTAATTAAATAATAAAATTATCTAAAAAGTCGTTAGCGTAACATGTCAGTTATGAAAGATATGCGACATGAACGCTTATAAATTCAAGAAATGTAAAATGGTTTCCGTGTTTACATAGCCTGATGTAAACACGCGGGAGGTTGGGAGAACACGAGATAAGCGTAGGAAACCACGACGCGAAGCGGAGCGGTTTTCAGCTTTACATTTCTTTTATAAAATAACTAATGAAAGAGGAACGAAAACCGTGTTTACATACGCTCATGTAAAATGGTTTTATGGCCAATCAGAGCGCGCGTACTATTTGAATTATTTTATAAACATTCTTAAGACACTTAAAAAAGTAAACTGCATCATTAATTTCTCTATGATACTGCAAAGGCGCTCGTGCTCCGAATAATCCCTACCAAGAATGAATCTCGTAGCCCTACTTTGGACCTGTTCCAAATTGTTAATGTTTCGTTTGGTATGAGGTGACCATGCCACGCTAGCATATCAATTTCACCTTGGAGAGTGTGTTAATAAAATGTTCGCGTTGTCTTTCTCTGCCTCTCTCCACCAATTTTGTTCTGAACAAATATTTCTTTTGAAGAATCATCCCGAGGAGTCGTGACTCTTTCCTTTTAGCAAAGCCTTTCTTTGCTCCCGCTGGGTGACACGTTACGTAGAAAGTGAACTGGAATATCTCTGTTGGTTTGAAGTGGTTTCTTAAATGGAGAACTGAATCCCTATTCAATCTTTCACCCCTATGGATAGTTGTGTCTGAGAAAGAAGCTTCTGATATTTCAGCCGTTTTAAGTTTAATTATTTTCATTTAATTGTAAGCAATTAATAGACCGCTCAGTTAATTCAGTCCTACATAAGGCTAAAAAGCAACCGACATGTTACTTTTCTATGATGATACTGATCAGCACTCACTCAAAGGATAAATAATAAGTTTGCTAGAAAGTACTTAATAATTTTTAACAAGGGTAAAATTTAAAATGCTTATGTTATGAGAGAGAAACAACAAAAACGCCATACGAAACGTATCCGTCGATCAATCTGGCAGCTTGTTTAACTAAAATGTTTACGTCCTCTAAATTTCACTTTTGAGTGTGTGCTGTTAATGAAATTATTTGCATGCCTCTCTCTGACTTTCCCGGCCAGCTGTGTTCTTATATCGAGAACTGACTCTCTGTTGAATCTTTTACCCTTACAGACAGTTGTGTCTAAGAATTAGCTTCTGATATTTAAGCCGTTATGATTGTTGTATGATGTTTATTAACTTGGTCAATGAACTGGTTGATGACCTTGTCAATCGCGAAAATTAAGACCCGCGAAAATGGTAAGGTAAGTTAAGCGAATTCCAAGTCAATTCATTACCAAAAATAGTTCAATAGTTTAATCCTAAATTGTCCTTGATTGCAGTACGTAATTTATGTGAAACATTCTCTTAAGATTTTATCAGACGTTGTTGATCTTGAACTATTTTTGGTAAATACGGATAAAAAGTGACGAGGCTAGTATTTCAAAGCAATAATCCCGCTTTGGGCCTGTTTAGAAACTTATTACGATGACTGTTTTTTATTTTAATACAAGTAGAAGGCGTTTACCACTTGTCTAAAATGACCCCAGGCCGACTAACCGTATGAATGAATAAATATCATTTCAAGAGCTTTCATGAGATTTTGAGAGCTTTCATGAGATTACCATAAGAATAAAAAATATTTCAATGATCGGGGCAGACGGTTTTGATATACAACGGTCATGTTACAATTCATTATTAATGACCTGGTCTAGTCTGTCGCTTCCAACCAAGGCGTTTTTTCCCGCCTGTATGTTAATTAACGCCTTTGTATGCAGCTTGAAGTTGAGGACTATTCTGACACTGCTAGCTTGACTCGGGTACGGAAACGCATGGAGGACAAACAGTTAAATTACTGTCGATGGTTCCTAAATCAGGGTTTGGTCATGCTTTATGAGCACATAGCCAGGTAGCACAAAATTATTGCCATAGCGTTTTTGTTAGCTTGTTTGTTTTTGTAATTCAATTAAAGCGATTACCATTTGTCCAAAGTGGCCCTCGGGCCGATCCAATGTAAGAATGAAAAAAGTTTTGTTTATCATCTACAGTTTCCGCATTGTTTACAAGAACTATACGAGAATAGAGAGTAATTAAATGATTGGAGCAAACTATTTTGATACTCAAAAGACATGTTTCAGTTTAGTACGAATGAACTAGTCTGGCCTGTCAGAGGCAACAAAGGCGTTGATTCTGTCCGTTTATTGATTAACGCCTCTATGGTGCGGAGTGTACAGTGACTAGTGCATAGTGAGGACTGTGCTGTGGCATTTTTAAAATTAAAATTGCTTGCTTTGACTTGAGTAGAAGCACATGGAAGACGAAACGTTAGTACTGTTGTCGGATCTTTTCTTCCTTAGGGCTCGGCAATTTATGATTACACAGCCGAGTCAAACAATTATAACTTCTAATAGAACGATGGCAAAATCCATCCACCAAATATGACTTCGTATGACACAGTTCATAAATGAATCAACAGAGAGTAAATTCCCCGAAAGTCACAATTTTCCTGCTAAACTAGGAGCTACTAGAGGAGCAGACCCAATGAAAGAAAGGCAGGTAAAGTTCACTCACAGGATCTTCAAATGTGGATTGCGATCAAATAGGGTTGGAGGAAGGTCTTTCAGCTTGTTTTTGTATAATCCCCTATTTAGCCAGAACAGTCAAGAAGATTAGCTGTTAGCTTATCACAAGAATAACAAAGATTTATTAACGAAATCATGACCTTAGGCTCCCTGAACTTTTCCCTTTAGTCTGAAGTTCATAAATGAATCAACAGAGAGTAAATTCCCCGAAAGTCACAATTTTCCTGCTAAACTAGGAGCTACTATAGGAGCAGACCCAATGAAAGAAAGGCAGGTAAAGTTCACTCACAGGTTCTCCAAATGTGGATTGCGATCAAATAGGGTTGGAGGAAGGTCTTTCAGCTTGTTTTCGTGTAATCCCCTATTTAGCCAGAACAGTCAAGAAGATTAGCTGTTAGCTTATCACAAGAATAACGAAGATTTATCAACGAAATCATGACCTTAGGCTCCCTGAACTTTTCCCTTTAGTCTGAAGTTCATAAATGAATCAACAGAGAGTAAATTACCCGAAGTCACAATTTTCCTGCTAAACTAGGAGCTACTATAGGAGCAGACCCAATGAAAGAAAGGCAGGTAAAGTTCACTCACAGGTTCTTCAAATGTGGATTGCGATCAAATAGGGTTGGAGGAAGGTCTTTCAGCTTGTTTTTGTGCAATCCCCTATTTAGCCAGAACAGTCAAGAAGATTAGCTGTTAGCTTATCACAAGAATAACAAAGATTTATCAACGAAATCATGACCTTAGGCTCCCTGAACTTTTCCCTTTAGTCTGAAGTTCATAAATGAATCAACAGAGAGTAAATTACCCGAAGTCACAATTTTCCTGCTAAACTAGGAGCTACTATAGGAGCAGACCCAATGAAAGAAAGGCAGGTAAAGTTCACTCACAGGTCCTTCAAATGTGGATTGCGATCAAATAAGGTTGGAGGAAGGTCTTTCAGCTTGTTTTCGTGTAATCCCCTATTTAGCCAGAACAGTCAAGAAGATTAGCTGTTAGCTTATCACAAGAATAACAAAGATTTATCAACGAAATCATGACCTTAGGCTCCCTGAACTTTTCCCTCTAGTCTGAAGTTCTTTTTCCTCTATGGGTTCAACGTCAATATAAACCAAAAAGAAGTCTGTCAGGACCACACCTACTTTTTTTGACCACATCATATCGATCGTGACATATTATAAATAAATGGTATGACATGTTTCTTTTTCCTTACGTAACTAAGACAACATTTTTATTTAAATCACAACTGTAATGAAGTTGGCAAACGTAATTCAACGTACAATGCTTGAAGATTGCTGAGGTTGGCAAGCAAGTCAGATGGTAGCTCCTCCAAATGGTTATCACTCAGGTCTCTGTAAAATGCAATGGCATTTACAAATAACGTGTACAAGGGGAAATATCCGTGATCAACTCTGACTTTATTATTCTCAGGTGATTAGCGTTTACAAGAAGACTGAAAAACTCATTACATAGTTACAAGAATGTATAAAGAGGAGAATTTCTTTTATAAGGGTGATGAAACTCTTACATGGACCAAACTGTCCCTATAAACTTAGCAATCATATCAATAAATATCAAAATCGAAAGGCGCCCTTGCATAGTAAATTGCAAATAAGTCAATTTATTTTCAAATAAAAGTGTGCGTGACCAGAAACTTTACCAAATAATTTCTACTGTTAGAAGATAAAAAAAATTTCCAAGGACTTTAAGGTTCTAAATATTCCTGGATGAAGGCTGCTTAGTGTGTTGTTGTGGATATACCTGTAACTTGATTGGAACGATTGTCAAAGGCGTTGATACTGTCCGTGTATTGATTAACGCCTCCATATGCAGGGTGCGGAGTGTAGAGTGACTAGTGCATAGTGAGGACTGCGCTGTGGCATTTAATTGCTTGTTTTGACTCGGGTAGAAACACATGGAAGACGAAACGTTAGTACTGTTGTCGGATCTTTCCGTCCTTAGGGCTCGACAATTTATGATTACACAGCCAAGTCAAACTATTATAACTTCTAACAGAACGTTGACAAAATCCATCCACAAAATATGACTTCCTATTACACAGTTCATATATGAATCGACAGAGAGTAAATTCCCCGAAAGTCACAATTTTTCCTGCTAAACTAGGAGCTACTAAAGGAGCAGACCCAATGAAAGAAAGGTAGGTAAAGTTCACTCACAGGATATTCAAATGTGGATTGCGATCAAATAGGGTTGGAGGAAGGTCTTTCAGCTTGTTTTTGTTTAATCTCCTATTTAGCCAGAACAGTCAAGAAGATTAGCTGTTAGCTTATCACAAGAATAACAAAGATTTATTAACGAAATCATGACCTTAGGCTCCCTGAACTTTTCCCTCTAGTCTGAAGTTCTTTTTCCTCTATGGGTTCAACGTCAATATAAACCAAAAAGAAGTCTGTCAGGACCACACCTACTTTTTTTGACCACATCATATCGATCGTGACATATTATAAATAAATGGTATGACATGTTTCTTTTTCCTTACATAACTAAGACAACATTTTTATTTAAATCACAACTGTAATAAAGTTGGCAAACGTAATTCAACGTACAATTCTTGAAGATTGCTGAGGTTGGCAAGCAAGTCAGATGGTAGCTCCTCCAAATGGTTATCACTCAGGTCTCTGTAAAATGCAATGGCATTTACAAATAACGTGTACAAGGGGAAATATCCGTGATCAACTCTGACTTTATTATTCTCAGGTGATTAGCGTTTACAAGAAGACTGAAAAACTCATTACATAGTTACAAGAATGGATAAAGAGAAAATTTCCTCTATCATGGTGATGGACGATTTTCTCTTAAAGAAGCAATTGAATTATCCATTCATCTTTGCTTCTTGGTATATTTGGCAGCTGGTTGATTAGCTATTTAATGCTTTTATTTTTTCTTGAAAAATTATATATAGTGTCCTCTCTTGTTGGTTTGTTTGTTTTTTTTTGTCTATTATTTGAATTTATTTGACTTGAATGATTACATGTAATATACGCACAAGATTGTCGTTGTAGCTGGTACTTTCCATGGAAATGATTTAAGTTGTTTTCCTCTGCAGTTAACTACCACTGACTTGCATTCACAGGGTTCTGGACAATCAATTGTAGTATTTGATGCCAAATAATTGCTTCTTACGGTTTCAACAGCTGTTCAGTTAAATTTACATACGTGATAAGTATTTCCAAAATAAGAAACAAAACTACGTACTGATGACTGATGATTACTAAATATATTTGGTAGAGAGGGCTAAATTATTCGCCAATAGTATTTACGAGAAGTGAAATGTCATCGCTTACCCAATAAAAAAATAAACACGAACATGGTTTTCTTTGTGACAGACATGACGCGAGAATCACCTGAAAGCACAATAAAGCACAAGATCAGCGCTTAAGATCGAGGCAAACAGGCATGGCAAAGAAATCTATGTGGAACGCATTTTCAGTCTTGTGGTCAAAGGGGAAATAAACTAAGGCGAGCTTGGAAAAATTTGAAGAGCTGAATATAACGAAATCTTGAAAAAGCAACTATAGGCGTACACTAAGGGACCAGTCTTTATTTATCAACGGTAGGGGAAATGAAGGGGGAATCAGTCGTCGCCAACAGAGTATAAAAATAGAACTGTAGAAAATTGACAGCCGATTGACTTTTAATGAGGGGGACTCATGCAAATATGAAAATGACTATTTATCGCCGAGGGGGGCCGGGGGAGGGGGGAGGCAGAGGATTTGGTGGACCACGTAGGGGTCAACAGAAACGGAGGGGGATCAGTCGTCGCTAACAGAGATTAAAAATAGAACTGTAGAAAATTGACAGACGATTAATTTTTAATGAGGGGCACTCATGCAAATATGAAAATGACTACTTATCGCCGAGAGGGTGGGGGCGGTTATCTGAGGAAATTACGTGGTGTTCAGCAGAAGCGGAGGGGGGGGGGGGGGTAAGTATCGCCAACAGAGTATAAAGATAGAACTGAAGAAAATTGACAGCCGATTAAGTGCGAATGAATGGGGATCATAAGAATATGACAATGACAATGAGCTTTATTGCTGAAGTCCGTCATCAGTCGTGCCTGGTCTGAAACAAGCTCAAAGAAAAGCATTTGAAGCCTTTTGAAGCAGTCTGTGTTGACGTTACACTAAGACCTGCGATTCAAACGCACTATAAAAGTATTTGTGAACAACAAAAAACCGTCAGATAATTGTCGTTTTTGTCATTAATTTTAAGTTTTAAGCAGATGGTGAAAAACAATTACCCGCTCACAAAACGAGAAAAAATTGCTGCTCAGTTTTAAAAAGCCTCACAAACAATTTCAGTGATTATTCCTTTAGTCACAGAGATAACGAAAATAACTTTCTTATTGCAATCTCAAATAATATATAAATTATTTTACCAAGAGAGAGGGGTTGCTAAACATCCGTCTTTTGACAACCGTAGCTGTAGCACGATGCCATAATGATTACATTAGTTTCTGTTGGACATGTTAAAAGCTAATCGCACAAACAACCATTGCTTCTTCAATTTCTGTTAAAAATCGTTATTTATGTGTAATTTTCAAAACAAAAAAACAGTAAGTATTACGGAGCATATTGATTTTTTCAGAACAACAACATAAAGTCAAAAGCATATGGTGCGGTAACAGTTACTATGACTTGATCACTGAAAAAACTATAACTGGCTGTAACTATATATTTTTTACCAATTGTTCTGAACTATTAAATGTACTACTTGCAGTACACAAATGGATGGATTCAATTATTTACCTGAACTACCCCATCGAGGAGTCTCTGGTTTCTTGTAAGCCACAATATTGCACCGTTAAAGACAGAATTGCTAAAATAACGTTATTTGAATACGTTTGCAATAAACTGCATGAAAACGTGGATTTGCATGCATAATTACCGATAATTATGTGGTGGACGATACATAATTAATATCCCGGGGAACTGAAATTGTTTTGAAACTTCCAAACTTTTCAGGAATTCATCTTTCTTTAAAAAACTGAACTGTTCATTCGACTTCTTGTCTCTACTTATAGCAAATATTTGTGCTTTTTCATCTCTTTTTCGTACAATATGTTCAATGCCTGTCTAAAATGACGTTATTGTCATTGTTGTTATTTGAAAACTAGCGATCTTTATCATGAAAATTCAAATGAAACACGTAGGATGAAATATTTTTAATTCACAAAGAAATTGTGAATGGTAATACGACTGAAGCTGAGGAATACCATTCATTCAGAAATAGATATTAGTAAAAGGTGTATTTCCGAGGAAGTGAAAAGAGTGCGCATGCCCACAAGAAGCTAAAGCTTGGTACGTTGCGTTTCAATACATAAATTTCTCACCAACACAGATTTTTCTATGTTGCCGCATTTAACAAACCAGATCTCACAGACCGCCCAAAACTAATGTGGGAGTTTTTTTAAAAATACATATTTATGTCCTGATGCTTTGCCGTAGGTGAACTTTCCATTGCAAATCTAGCTCTTTTTAAATTATTTAGGCTAAAAGGTGAATTTCACATACAGTTCATGTTTCTTTTCATGTTTCGTGTAACAGTTTGGTCATATCATGTAATATCTAAATTTTTCAAACTTCTCAGATTGAGCCTGGGCTGCTTGTTGTGTCAAACTTACCAAATACGTCAACATGTTCAGATCTTTTTAGAAGAATAAGACAACCATCAGCCCTGCATGTTACGATTCATGTACTTTTATTCATGGACGGGGAGCTGTTTATAACCGTTTTCCTTAGGCACTCGGTGAATCATACACGAGGGCCAGATTACAGCTCTTTATAATAAACTAGCACAAACATATTTCATGCATTAAGTAATAATACGAACTATCACTGGATCAAACAATTCGTACCCTGATTCTACTAGTTTGATCAAAATGAAGGATCGATTTCTGTCGCTTGGCCGTGGAAGGCCTGTGTACGAGACTAATTCTGCCCTCGCCTCCACCCCCTCCCCCACCTTAGCCATTGAATAAGTCCGATATTTTTATTATTTTGAAGGTTTAACTGAATACTTTTCGAATGTCATTTATTGCGGAGTAGGTGGACGCCACACCACCAAAAATTCCAACAGCTATGAGTTCATACAAGAAAACCTTGATATGAAGAGGAATATTACGTTCAATTCTCAAATAAAACAAACAGGGAAATACAAAGGTCAATGCAGTTATTGTGGATCCTCCAATAAGAGACAGAATGGGACCAAACTTTGGGATGAGTTCGCCAATGCCAAGAATAAAACACATGATGGCGGTGCGAAGGAGGCACCGTTTGACACCAAATCCTGTTGGAAAAGAAGACCGAAAAATGACTTAAGGTAGCGTAAGTGTCTAACATTAAAACGCTGTGTGGATGGGGGGTTTTATGAAAGCAAGACGCCGATAAGGAAAACAGTTTTACACGAAAGAAGCAAGAAAAAAAAAGCGCTCGTATTTCGCCCCTAGATATATAAGCGTAGCTGTGGACCCTAGAGCTATCTTGATCACATTCCCTGTAAAATATTAGATTCTATGTTTTTTTAATGGAATAGGTAGACGTCCATCGCAACCCTTGCTTCCCGCTGAATTAATGAGATTAACCCTGGGTGTATTTAAACCAACCTTGAGGTATGCTCAAAAACTCCTCAAAAGACTGCGATACTGGGTTTATCACAATAACAAAGCTTAACAGCAGGTGAAGTGTGATCAGTACAAGCACTATGTCTAACATAACAGCAGCCGCGTCATGTCCTTCGTATTTCACGCTCTCGAGAATGTTCGATGTGATGTTCTTGCCGTAAGCCACAAACCGAGGATTGACACAGGCAGATACATGCTTACGACACCAACCTACGCCCAGAACACAGAAATTGGAAACTTGGAGCATTTTTTCATGTCTGTCTGAATCGTTGGAAAGGTTGAAGCGCCACCAAATGAAAATAATATAGTTCCGAAAGCTAAAAGAAAAGGAGAAATTAAAAGAACTCAGCAGCATTGAGGAATGAATATAAGGTTCACTTTAGATAAAACCTACCATCCTCATTTTTCCTGCGAAATTTTAGCCACGCAGTGGATAGCTCTTACTGACGATTAAAATGTTAACATTTCGCGGCACATTCTAGTAAAAAAGTCATGTCATTTTTTTATTACACTGGATAATCTTGTAAGTCGACTTGGCCACACCGAGACCATTGGCAGCCTCTGTTCAGAAATGGATCACAGATGCAGTCAAAACGTGGTAAGAAAAAACAAAAGAGCACATGAAGCGCAGCCGGTTGTGTCACTGATGTTTTTACCACATTTTGATGTCTTCTGTGATCTATTATTGTACAGACCCACAGCAACGTAGAATCGATTTTCTAATTGTAGAGATGACGAAAGGTTGTTAATAATGACGTCATCTATGCGTTTGTCTTCCAACAGAACATAAGTAGTACCAATAAAATGCTTGTATAATTCAGCTTATCGTATAATTTTATATGAGTAGCATATATAATTATATATGATAATAAGTCCACTTAGGAAAACACACCTGAAAAGAAACTCTCGAAGCTTACACTAGGTTGTTCAACAGTATTCAAATCAGACGGCATATCCAATGCGATGCACACGCAGATCATCAAACAAGCCATAGCTGTTGCTACACTAGCACTGACAGCGATCCCTCAGAAGTGCTTGGGCGTTCCCAGCCACGAGTATGGCAGCAGAACAGCAAAACAAATCACGAGCCAAATACGCAATTCGCCGGTTTTCCCAACATCAGCCACGTGCAGATTGACAAGATTTGCCAAGTTTCCCGCCGCCAGGATCAAAAACACTACACACACCCCTAGTCATAATATCAAAACAGTAACGTCAGATAAAACCTAAACATCTCATTGTCCAAGCGTGGATGTTTGTTCCAGATGTAAAAATATTAGTTTCGGAGCCTTATCAAAGACATCGAGGTTGACCAATGTTTCTCATGGTATTGATGCGAAGCTATGTTTTGCTGCACGAGAGTTGAAAAAGAGGATTTAACTCATATTTACCTTTTGATTTACTACCCTTTACAAAAGTGATGGAACCCAGCATTTTTGCTCTCAGGAGAACGTAAGATAAGTGCCATAAGGCAGCACCACCTCCGTTTGAACCCCTTAAATCTAAAGATGTGACAGGCAATTTTCTTTCTCAGCTGTCACACATTTCTATGCATAAAATTAGTTAAGAGGATTTAGTTTTTCGATCATATTCTCTAACCAATCAGCGAAAGTACTCCTATGTTTCAAGGAGATTTTTTCATGTCAAGAAAACACTCCTGAAAGTCAGAGGGAACTGTTTTGAGTAAGTGTGGAAGATTTCAGGCACGGCGAGAATAATGATGAAGGAAAGGATGGGGCGAAATATTAGCTATAGACTTAATACAATTGAAAGTACAACTGTTATTTCTTTCCTTTGAGACTTGTAGTGCAGAATGAACCTCTTTCGCCAAAATGCAAACGCCGTATAGGGTTAGGGGGTGGGGAAGTAAAGGGATATTGACCGCGATGATATACCTAACATTTGCCCCACAAGACACTGGTATACCTTAAAATTGTAAGGAGTCACCCGAAAATTTCCTCGGCCTGATTGTGACGCCGTGAAGGCACATCAGAACGATCTTTCGTAGCAGTCACCTGCATTTTAGTGAATGACACTGGATTCTCTAGAGATTATCAACCTGCTTATAAGTTGTCCTGTAGGGATGATGAGCACAAAAACGTCGGTGATTTCTCTTTCGCGCGGGATGCTTATGCAAATCAAGTCACAACCTCGGTCCTGTTTCTCAGGGAGGAGAGGTCCTGGGAACGAAGCAAAGCGGAGTTCAAAATGGCTATTTGATTGCTAAACCTGATATGAACTGTCTCACACGACTCTTTAAGTAAGTAACATATTTAGAAGTGGGAACCCAAAAGCAATTTTTAGAAAATTCACTTGGGGCATTAGACTCAAAAATAATCGAGCAAGCAGACGTCATCTTCGTGAATCACATCATGTAAAATAGAGTAAATACTCAAGGCCTAGGTGGAGGAAACACTTTAAAAACTCACTGCCTCGCATGTATGTATTATAATAAAGCAATTATTGATTGATAACCCTGCAGCGAAGGATGATGCATGTGTTCAGTCCCTTGGAAGCGTCTCCTGTTGCTCCCTAAAAGTTTCCTGGCACCCGCTTCCGTGTTCAATTTCTAAATTTAAAAATCTCTAGTTAATCAATAAGCATTTCATTTCAATGTTATTTTCAGTACTGTATCGATCAGTGTGATGTTGATGCAGACAGTCACAGCCAATGATGCTCATCTTCCATAAGCATTTTCTCCGATTGCTGGGTACGGGGACCGTACGTGTCCGTTGTACTCGCTATGCCTCTTAAGAAGAGTCGCCCACGATCTCCCAAGAACCGTTCCACATGATAGACATGACAGCGTAACTTGTTTTCGTCACGCAATCTTCATAAATTACATGTATTTGACAAGTGCCTGATAAGTGCTTGAAATTAACACAATCTTTTCTGTTGACAGGAGAATGACTTTGACACAAGAGATTGGACTGAGAGATGTTTTGATACCATTGGAATGCGTAATCCATTTGAACTCAGAGCTGAAGATCTCCCAGAGCAGCCAAACTACTTCACTTGTGCCTTCAGAAAAGACAAACTTGACAAGTACGTTTTCTTTGTTAACCATCAGGATTATGGTTAACAAATGGTTATGGTTAACCGTGATGATTTCTTCAAAAGTGCTCAGCGAAGCAGAATTGTAAGTGATTCCTGTAACACAGGATGTTTACTTTGAACTCAACTTTATCATTACAACATTACAAGTCTGATAGTTTTACAGTCATGTATGTCTTGTAGTACCTGCTATGGTAGGTCTTCTACTCACTGAACAATGACCAAATGTTATATTCATCCTTTGCCTGATTTATAAAATAGTATACTCAGGTAACACATATATCTCAGACAGAGATGGCAAAACAAATAGAAGTACAGTAAATATTGATGTTCAATTGCAAGCACGTTCACAGAATTTTGACAAGAACACAGTATGGTGAGAAGAGGAATCAGATTGGTAAAAATGAAGCAATCTTAATCAAAACTATACTTTATGTTAATGACTAGCATTAAAAATTTGGGGCCCTTTACATTAGGAAGAGAAATATATTTTTGTCAGTCATTGAACAATAAGAATATTGCCACCTACAGGGAATTTAAAGGTACATGTCAGTTTTCTCTGATAACAGCAAGACTCTTTGAAGTATTCTCTTTTGTATTACTTTTAATTATTGATGTCAGCTTATTAAACTGATTTTGCAGTATATCATGTATCACATTGATCACATTGTGTATGGTGTGATCAGAAACTTATACCTAACATAATGTAGGTGCATATCCTTGTCATTTATGCATCTTTGTAATATGATATTAGGCATTGGATGCTTAATTGGCAATGGATCTTACGCTGCAGCTTATCCCTTACACGAGGTAAAAAATTAATTGCAAGTTTTGTTTTGTTTTGTTTTTTTGTCTTCAGTATAACAACTCCTTACTGTGAAACTTAAAAAGTGTCCAAGAAATTTACTATGGTATAATTTGATGGATCACTGCAATTTACAATGATTTCTCTAGGTTTAAAAAATGAGCAGTTCCTGAATGATAGTCCTTTAGAAGAGAATATCATAGGCTTTGAAACTTCTCAGAATTTAGAGTGACTGAAAACAGAGACTTGAAGGGCAGTGGTGAACAAATTTAAGGGCCCTCATATTTGCACATGATTATTAAGTTGAAGGCCCAAGAAGGCTGACATACAGTTATATCATACAAAACTTAAAATTAAAAACCTTGTCTCCTGTCAGGAATTAAAGGGACATGAAAAAGCCAAACAAAGCTATATAGGTCATGGTTCATTTTTTGTAAGTGCACTCCATCTGGTTGAATGATCCCATGCAAGGGACTGGCCAGAGGAAAAGGCAACATACTGCATCAGTTTTCTCAGAGTGATTTGGAGTCTAATAATGATATTTTCCTTGAATCAACAATTATGTCAGGTTGCTTGAACAGGATTCAGCCAAATGTTGGCAAAGTTAGCCAATGTCATTTATTTCAGAAAGTACAGTTTTCTTGTCATTTATTTCAGAAAGTACAGTAAGGCATTCTCGTGAGATCAAAATTTTAGAATGAAAATTTAATACAAAGAAGGAATAACATCAAACAACTACATGTCCATATGTTTAGTCAAGTGAGAGTTGGACAATGGATGTCTTGATCCAGGGAACATTAAGCTTGTTGTACATGGGGAGCTATTCAGACTGATACATGTACATTGTACATGTATATAATAGTAATAGGACTAAGAGGAGTCCAATTCAGGCTGTAATTATCCAAGTGATTAACAAAATCGGATGATTGCACTGTGAAGGCATCCGTTGTACCTTTTCATCTAAAAAAAAACAACAGTTAAAGGGGCAAAATGTGAGACAATAGCATGCACATGTGACACCTTCTTTCCACTTACACAGGCATGGTGTGTTAATTGCCCTATTACACTGTCCAATTACAAGCATGATGTGTACACTGTCCTATTAGTGCTCAAACTGAGCTGGAGAACTCAAGAATTTTGTTATAGTTTTGATCAATGAAACCAGGGATTTTGAATAGCAACAAAGCATAATTGTACTTCAGGCCAATTTTCAGGGTATGCTTTTTGTTCATGACCATCAAAATAATTCAATCAGACTTGAACACAACATGTACGAAAATCATGTTGTCTTAATCATATCTAGGACAACTGTGTGGTTGTCAGTTGCTCATAACACACACAAAAGTAATTTTTTAGCATTTTGAAACATGTTCTTTTACCTTTAGGTGTTGATGTTACAAATTAAAGAGTTGCATTTGATTTTTTTTTACTGGAGAGAGGTAAAAGAGATGGATTTGGCATATGATGAGCACACTGTAATTTATAATTACTTTATCAGGGAATTTGACATGTAGAGATCTATACATTGCAAAAATTACCACAATAATGCATGGAATAACTTGATACAGTACCATCATTTTTGTATTTTACAAAGGTTGATGTAGGGCACTTATGAAAAAGATCAATCCAATGATCCTCCAAGACCTGAAAATGCCAGACAGGTAATTTTTTTATTATTATTTTTAAATTAATAGACCTCGTAAGGTTAATTAGTTTTGTGTATGTTGTTTCCTGTTAAGTTTACAGTGTACATTGTGTATGTACAACTCGGACCTAATAAACTCCTAAACAAATCTATGGTATGCAGTCATTTCGTACCCATAGTTGTTTTGTACTCATTCATTTTATACTCAAGCTGGGTACAAAATGACTCAACTAACTGGGTATGACATGACTGTGGGTGTGAAACGATCGGTAACCCAATCTATGCCATCCTATTACCATCTCTTCAACTTACACTTCATCAGTTTTGTAAACTTCTTTCAAAGCTGATTTGTCATTCAAGCTACAGTACATGTAACCTTTTTTTTCAAAGATGTAAACATCAATTCTCCATCCAGTCTACCATACAGCTTTTACAGTTTATATAATCAAACAATACTTTGTCCCCTGAAGTTTTTTCTTTCTTCTTATCACATTCCTGCTTTTAGATGTTTTAAGGTAAATTCCTATTTTGTAGGAACTTGTAAGAGGAAAATTAGAGTCGAACAAGTCAAATCACCAAAGAAAACTTTGTTTGTTTGTTTGTTTTTTCATTGAATTTTCTCCTTCCCAAATATTTTTACTTCTACCCCTACTCTTGATATTCTTCTCAAGCTTGTGTTCAGATATATCAGACTTGAAACTTTTGATAGCTTTTCTCAATATTTTCTTTTAAGTGCAGTTATAAATTTTTCTATTGCATTGTTTTTTCCAGTTTTACAGTTGGTAATCAATGATAGTTTTATTTGTGGGTTGTTGCTATTTCAGTTGTTGTTTGACACCTGGGTTAAAGCACATTGCTGGTACAAAATGCAACCATTGGATCATATCAGGTAAAATCACTTACACAGGACTGTTTAACTCAAGGTGTGTGCATCATTTTTTGTTGTTAATAGTTGTTTTGGTTGATTATTCATTAATTTTGTTGCAGAGATTACTTTGGAGAGAAAATTGGAATCTACTTTGCTTGGTTAGGTAAATATAATTAATGACTTCAAATTTCATGTGCACTCTGATTGAAGTAAGTTATTGTTTCAGCTGTTTAATCATGGCTGCATATAATTTTTATTTTTGGAAGAACACATATTAAAGGCTATGACTGTATTCTAGTCAGCCAGTGAGACTCAAGGACATTGCACAATGCATGAAGTTTGGATGTCAATGAGGAAAACAGTGTCATCAAACAAATGTTACTCTCTTGACTGTTTGACAGGTTTCTACACATGGATGTTGCTCCCAGCAGCCATCATGGGCCTTGTTTGTGTGATTTATGGACTTGTCAGACTGGAGTCTTACATTCCTGTGTAAGTGATGAGTTTGGCAAGGCCTATATGTGCATTCTATCATATGCAAAGGCCTTATATTCATATCAGCCGTGAAATGGGCTCATTGAGGACTGGGAATCTTAAAGTATTATATAAAGTTGTCGTGAAATGGAACAAAAGAAAAATATACTTGGTGATACATTCACATGTGCTATTTTACATAACTTTCACTATAATGTGCATCCAGTGTTTACTATTACTGCCAGTGGTAAGCGTTAACAGTGTTGCAATCACTGGTTTTATACTGAAAAAACGCAAGTCAGAGAACGAACTTTTTTTTATTTTTGTGTAAACGTGGCTTTCAGACACGTAAAACCAACTGTATGTATGTATCTTTTGCTTTAGGAAAGACATCTGTGATACGTCTAAGAACTTTCCCATGTGCCCTCGCTGTGACAAACGCTGTCCCTACTGGCCTTTATCGGACACATGCATCTATTCAAAGGTGACTTAAAGAACATTTTCACCTCTTACCTCAAGTTCCTTCTTTTCTTCTTCCTCGACTTCTTTGCTAAAGTTTTTTAAAGGTCGCTATTTGGCGACTTAACCAAATTTGTCATTCTCTTCACAGTCAACCATACAATTTTTATATTGTTTGTTCAGAGAATTTAGTATTGGAACAACTAGTTATCCCCAAATTGATATTTTTCTTTATTATTATCACTTATCTGGTTGATATTATATTGATATTGTAAGGAAAAATTCTGTCTTGGTCACTCATGGGAGTTAAAGGGTTAAAATCACGAAATGTTTGCCAGAAATGGAGAAAGAAAAGAAGAAAGCAGAGAAAGAAATTTTGTGCAACATTGAATTTAAGCACCACAGTTTCTTCCTGCTGGCCATGATGACCAAATGGCCGCAGTGTGAGGCCCTGTGTCGCATTAATAATTGATGTAGCCCCTTGTTAAAGGGGCTACACGTAGCATAAACCATGAATTTGGAGACAATTCATAATGATTAACACATTATTTTGCTGGGAAATATTCATCTTTGTAGTTCGTTTTTCAGAAGTTATCTATCCAGTTTTATCGTCTACATGTACTAATGCCCTCTTTGATTCTCTTCAGGTGGCTTACGTTTTTGACAATGAGTTTACTGTGGTTTTTGCCATTTTTATGTCGATTTGGGGTGAGACCTTTTTTTATTTTTAAGAATAATTGCTTGTGTAATAAACTGTGTCAGACCCCGAGGCTCTATTGTTGACAGCTGTACAAATCATAAATGGCTAGCACGTGGAACCTTAAGTCTAAATGTTTAAGCCCTGGTGTGGTCATTATATTGAGTTGTTGGGCGAGATGATTCACTCTGAGAATGCTTCTCTCCATCCGGGAGTATATACATATTGGCAACGCTGAATAGTCAAAGAAACTTGACAGAATGTTTGGGCAACTTGTACTGAACCATCCCGTTCAAGAGTTGAAAAAATAGCTAATGGATTGATTACCGAACATTTCATAAATAGGATCATTTTGTCTGTGACTTTCACAGAAAGGAAACTTTGATTTTCTTTCAGGGTCGTAATGTTAATGCAATACTTTGCTGATGATCATGTGTGTATTTGTTACACAGCCACCATGTTTCTTGAGTTTTGGAAGAGGCGGCAGGCAGAGATTGCTTACGAATGGGATCTATTGGGATATGAGGACGAAGAGGTACGATATTAATTAATCAATCAATGTATTTATTTATGACTTTTGTTAATTATTTGTAAGAAGGCAAAGATTAGGCTTGGCAAGGTAAGCTTATGCCGTTTAGGATTTATCCAGGAACAAAAAACCACACTACTTACTTCTCCGTGTCGATTTTTCTTTCGTTTTGTGAATGGTGCTTTAAATGTAAACGTTTTTGTTGATCTTGTTGCATGTTATAAGCAATTAATATTAATCTCACGAATCTCTGAACTGTGTTCGTTTGAACTCAAGGTACAGTTTATTACTTAAAAAGACTCGCAAAAACTTGACCGTCAGTCCTGTTCAGTGTGTTTTTCATTTGACCATCTTTCCATAAATGTACAAGCTCCAATTCATTATTCTGTTTTAGGAACAACCTCGTCCCGAGTACGAGGCAGTAGCGATGGAGACCCGTTTGAACCCCATCACGAAAGTGGAAGAGCCTTTCATATCGCTTGGGAGGAAAGTGCCCAGATTTATTTGTAGTTTCAGTTTCATCATCTTCATGGTAAGAACTGGATAATGTTTAATAAGGCTCAATGTGATTTTGGCCAGGTTTAAACCGAGATAATGCAGCAGTTTCACCAGAGCCTCCCAAGGGCATTGATGTGCATTACTACCTTACTGCTTTGTTTCCTTCCTTCCTTCCTTCCCTCCTTCCCTCGCCCCCCCCCTCCCTCTTTTGGGTGAGTGTCCATTCCGCGCACCGGTTTGTTGGTGTTGCGTTGACAGGTGCCTGGAGGTTGGCTGCGGCTTGATTGCTGGGAGATTGCTTCCCTCCTATGGTGTCAACTGTTCGCATCCACCCACCCACCCACCACCTTGATACTATTGGGCATTGCTACTTGGACGAGGCGAAACGCTCATATTACTGCAACAATTTGACCTTTTCAAATCTAGATTTACCTGAATTCTGTAGCCCCGGCGTCTTTTGCAAGCTAGTTATAACCGACAGAAAAACTGACTTTTGGTCACCGGTATGGCTCGTAGTGTTTTAAAAGAGGATAAGAGGTGCAACAGCGAAGTTCTGAATTTTGATCTATAGTATTATGGTCTTTGTATCGCAGCTGGCGCTTGTCGTCATCGCCGTGTTTGCTGTTGTAGTATACCGTGTTGCAGTATACGCGGTGTTAGCCGCAAGCAGCGACTACAACATGGGAGCTGTAAACATGGCCACGTCCGGCACTGCAGCTCTCCTAAATCTCATTACCATCATGCTCCTCAACAAGGTACCCGCATAAACTTATCTTTTTCTATGGAGACGGTACACAACTAGTAAACATCTTGAGGTAAATTTTTGTTGTCTGCCCTATCATGTAGATGTTCGTTTGCGACTCTTACACAGCGATGGTTCCTACTTGAATGAGCAGATATTAGTTAACCCTTTAACTCCCAGAAGTGATGAACATGTAACCTCTCAATCAGATCTTGGGAGTTAGAGGGTTAACAGTAGAAGTTCAGCGGATGGTTTTATACCTTGGAGTAACAACTGATCATTTAGTGTGATCCTCTGGTGACTTCTTTTTGTTAATTGTTATTTTATCTCCAGGTTTACGAAAAACTGGCGGAGATTTTGACACGATGGGGTACGTGTGTAGAAAATGAATTCAGTGAACTTCATTCATGCTTTAAGCTATTGACCACTTTACTGATATTGAATCATCAATGCATCCGATCTTTCAACTGACCTTAACCGTACTACTGTACTCGTGCACGTTGTGGTCATTACACATTACATAAGAATTTTTAAATTTAAAATTAGTAGCCGAATCCTTCCGTACCTCTAAACTGCATTGGCATGCGGCGTCGAAAGCTAACAAAGTAGGAGGCAATGAGGATAGGGTTAAATTCATCATCTGTTTTTATTTCAGAGATGCCTCGCACCCAGACGGAGCTTGAAGACATCTTTTCATTTAAGATGTACCTTTTCCAGTTTGTGAACTTCTATTCGTCACTCTTTTATATTGCGTTTTTTAAACTCAGGTGAGTTTATGTCATGAGTAACAATGGGAAAAAAGTTACTTAGAGTTCTCCTAAGAAAGAAAACTCAAAATCGTAGACATTTTCGATTGTCTGGGATGACTGACGACAAATCGGTTAAATCGAGAGCGCTTTTTTTTTACTGACGCAACCCAGATTTTTGCGATGATCCGCGATTACTGAAGGTTAATGAAAACTCCTATTTTGAACTGTCGTTAGTTTTAATTTGCTACCATTCCTTGGCTCCTGTAGCCCCGAGTCCCAAATGAAGTGGTGTCTGTTCTATTTTTCGCCAACCATCAGACAATCGGAATGTCTACGATTTCGAGTTTCATTAATTAGAAAACTCTGGAATCATCGAGAAATATTGAAATCCCCGACTATCCGGGATTTTTCCCGCCAGCCTTAAGTGTCATTGTTTTTCTCACGATTTAGGCTCTTCGAATGACATGCAGATCGTGATCTTCCCTCACCCATTTGCTGTTGCACGGTTCTGCTGTTGTCTTGTTTCTTTGTGATGCTGTGTTGTGATACTGACGATCAAAAACAACAACAGGAGAGCCGTGTTACAGCGAATCTTCGAAATGCGCTAAGCTGTTGAGAAACAGCCCACCACATTGGAGCATAATGCTTCAGAAGGTGACTCGTATACACTCGACCTCATCACGTAAAGAAAACTCGCACTAAGCCATTGAAACGTCGCGATTCACATCAAAAGGAAAAACATCTTCAGAAAAATAGTTTTACATAATTACCAGTAGGAACTTTTATCTATTTACATAGAAGCGTTAAACACATTAAAAATTGTTTGGCATCACAGCGGTAGAATGAACGTATTGAATCATATTTTGAGAATATTTTCAACTGACAATTATAAGTTATCTGTTTAGGGTGAGACAGATTTTTTATGCATAATTTTAAAAATGGTACTGAACAGACCTACGGGGACAACAATTTTCGTCCCTCTGGAAGAAAGAACTGCGCTGACAAAAAAAATGTTTGTTTTCAGCCCTGGAAGGCCAGCAGAATTTAACAGGATATTTGGTTTTCGACAAGAAGAGGTAAGAAAAAGTATTCGATATGTAAAGCTTTTTTTGTGACAGTTTAGGGTATTTAAAGCTGCATTGGGTTGATCAGACGGTACTGTCGTCAAAAATTTGCGAGAAAAGGAAGGAAAGATCGTCTTTAGACATTGTTTGTAATTGAAGTAAATAATGTTTTTCGCCTTTGGTCCCATTAGTTGGACCAGTTTAAAAAGGACGCGTTTGATTAGAATTTATATCGTAAGGGTGTATGTGATGTTCGTTAAATTTGACAATGCAAGGTTTGCCGACTTGGAAATAGTTGCTTTAACAATTTGAATCTTATTTTTGACTTTTTTACCTCCTTTGGACAATATTAGTTCATTTCAATCAGAAAATAGAAAGTAAAATAAGGCATAAAAGTAACTGAAAATATCTTTCAAACATAGAGCAGTTGTAAAGGAGAATTCTGAGTTCATTTTTATGTTGTTCTGGCAGTGTAATCCGGCAGGTTGTTTATTTGAGCTCTTGGTCCAGCTGGCAGTTATCATGGTTGGAAAGCAGATCTTCAATAATTTTATTGAAATAATCGTCCCGTAAGTAGCCCGTAAAGAGATGAGGTACATTTTTAACGTTCCCGCTTTTTGAGACTTCATTGGACTTAAGGCAGGTTTTAGAAAATTACACATTTATGGACATTTACGTATTCTAATGTAATAACAGTTTACTGTTAACTAGGAGTATTTACGTTGTGCTCGATATACTTGGACAGTTTTGCAATACGACATACATATAGGTGTAATAGCTTATTGGAGAAGCACATTTATAGCGTAAGTGAAACACAGGTATAGTAATCAGAAAACCGGAATCGCTGAAAAAAAAAATCAGGGAATGTATTTGTATAGGTAATCACATGATTTCGAGTGCAATTTGGAATAAATAAGCACGAGTAAATTTTTTCAAAGACTAACAAAATTGCACGAGCCCGTAGGGCGAGTGCAATTTGTGGTCTTTGAAAAACTTAACAAGTGCTTATTTATTCCAAATTGTACGAGAAAAATCATGGGATTACGTGTTAATAATAGACATGAAAAAATACGAGATGGCTTATCATAATTAAGCAGAAGCAAAGCGCGCGCATCAAGAGCAAAAATAATTTATTCAAACCGTGCGTTCGGTCAAAACAACAATGTACGATCAAAACAATAATATGCGATGATATCTTCACATCTTTAAGGCGCAAAAAAGTTCAAAGTCCGGCTAAACAGTTCAAGGAATTGTTCAGTCTGTGTCCGAATCACTTTCGATGAAATGGAATCGTCGTTTTCGAGGTTTAACCATGTTTGTTTTTAATTTCGGCGTTGGATCGCTCGAGCAAAGTGTTAAGCAAGGTCGGCTTGTAATTTTTTATTTCCTTGGCAATTCCCTTCTCTAAAAACCACTTTTTCCAGACCGAAACCAAAAACAGTGCTTTTTACAGTGTTTTGGTTGTCTGAGCTGTTTTCAGCTGCGGTGGCGAAAGAAAACCTACTTAAAAAGCAGGCCATTGTTTCGCTCGCAAATTTTCAAATTTTCAAATTTTGTTGCGACATCGAAGGCTCTCATTTGATTGGCTATCTATGAGTTTCTTTGATTATTGACCAATCAGAATGTTTGATTTGTTACTTTCTTTGCACTGAATTAACCCTCTTCTGCACTGAATTAACTCTCTTCTGCACTGAATTACCTGAAAACTGCATTTATCTTGACCAATCAGAACTGAGAAATTTTTCCATGTATATTATTATTGTGGGAACATGCTCCAAACACATTTTACAGTGAAATAATACTTTTAATTGTTTAGTCCTGTAAAACAGTATTTCACAGGCCAAGTCACTCATTCTGCGAACGTTTTGGATTAATAATATTTTGACTCAAATTTCAAATGAGTGGGATGATCATTTGGGTAAGCACTCCTATTTTTTCATCATCATCATCATCATCATCATCATCATCATCATCATCACCACCACCACCACCACCACCACCACCACCATCATCATCATCATCATCATCATCATCTTCATTATTATTATTATTATTATTATTATTGCTGTAGTTGATATCGTCACCATTATTATTATTATTATTATTATTATTATTATCACTATGGTCTCTTTTATTCCTGAAAATAGAGGATATTACATGGCCGCGCGAAGATAATTAATTCTGTTCGAGTGTTGGGAAACATTTCACGAGTGAGCGAAACGAACGAGAGAAATATTTTTCAACGCGTGAAGAGAAATTTCGTAGCTCCAAGCGGCCTTGTAATATTATAATCATAGTATCGGTATTGTTTCCACGTGTAAAGAGAAACATGTTATCTTCACGTATGAAGATATCATGTTTTCGCGCGAAAACTCACTTGGTATTTGACTGAGGTTTATATTATTATTATTATAATTATTTTCCACAGAAAGCTTCAGAACTGGTGGAGACGCCGTCAGAATATTGAAACCCCCGACTTGACCGAATACACACGTTGGGAACTGGACTATGACTTGACTCAGTATCCCGTGCACGGGTTGTTTTATGAATACCTTGAGATGGGTAAGAACTGCGCAGCTTGTACGGTTGAGCGAAGGAGATGGTTGAGATTTTACTGGTTATAAACTCTGTTTTGTTTTTTTTTTGTTTTTGTTTTTTGTTTTTTTTGTTTTTGTTTTTTCCAGTGATCCAGTATGGCTTTGTGACACTATTTGTGGCCGCCTTTCCACTTGGACCGTTCTTTGCCCTCATCAATAACTTGTTGGAAATTCGTCTTGATGCTTACAAGTTTATCGTGGTTTTTCAGCGCCCAATGGCAGCTCGTGCGCAGGATATAGGTATGCGTTATATGAAGAGAGGGCCGATTATTTTTCTTGGTCTTAAACATTTTTTATTAATTGAAATTCTATTTAGGAACTACCGAATAGAACACTTGAAAAAAAAAACCTTTTGTTTTCACAGGAATTTGGTACGCAATCTTGAAAGGCGTTACGAAGATCTCTGTGGTCGTAAATGTAAGAATCTATTTAACAAAGTTGTGCGTTTTTGAATATTATTTCTTTAAGGATTGAAAAACGGAAAATAAACAGAGAAAAATTACTTGGGCGACAGATTCAGTTACAAACACAGTTGTTTTTTTCCCCCAATTTTATCGAATAAAGAAAAAATTAATGAGACAGTTTTTCCCATGTTCGAGCAAAAAAGGTTGGTCCTGACTTAAATCAAATAACAATAATATAGTCAAATTTGGTCACCTGGTGGTAGTTATTGACCTGTAAGAGCTAAAAATGAAGGATTTCCTAATAGGATGAGATATTTCATTGCTTTGGTAACTTGCAAATTCAAGCGGACAGACAATGATTTAGCATGTTCTACAAGGACCGCTCATTTTGCTTGAAAACAGTTTGTATTCAAAAGAACTTGAGCAATAGTATTGCCTCATTAATCGTACGTGCTGCATGCTGCGGTTCGAGTCACTTTAGTTGAAGGAAGCATACTTGAATAATTTGAATCAGCGATTTAAAGAGCAGAATACAGCAGAGAGTTATCTCTTTGTTCTACCTGTTGTCAAAGGTGAAAAACATGTCGTACTCGGCGTTTTGATTTAAAACCAAAGAGAACTTATTGTAAGGAAAGCCACAATGTATAATCACGGTAACTTGTTTTTTTCTTACCCTTTTTGTTAGGGCTTTGTGATTGCCTTTGTTTCCGAATTCGTCCCCAGACTGTATTACACCCTAGGTGAACACAACGACAGCTTGGAAGGATTTGTAAACCACACCTTGTCGTGTTTTGCGGTGGATGATTTTCCTGAGTCTGAGAGACCTTCTGGAGCTGCTGCTGTTGAGTTCCCCCTAAGAATTAACAGTTGTGGGTTTAATTTATCTACCTGCAGGTAAAATAACAAGGAGGGTTCTGTTTTATGGTTTAGTTCTTGCAGAAAAAAGAATCGCCTTTACTGATTAGTGTACTGATTCATTAATTTGTCAAAGCTTGCTGGACGCTTGGTGACACTATTGTAAGAATCATAAGTCATCCATTATAACTCAAGTTTTAAAGGTCTTGTGTGCTTGCATTTTAGATTCCGAGGGTATTATGAACGACCAAAAATTACAATACTCAACACGACCCTTCCAAATCCGAATGCTTACAAGTTCTCGACAGCCTATTGGCATATTTTGGCGGCCAAGCTGTTTTTTGTGGTTGCCTTTCTGGTGAGTTTGTGTCCACTTTTAATTGTGGGACGCTCGTTATGATGCACCTGATGGGATACTGAGAATCGGAGTATTTTCCTACAAATAGAATTGTTGGTGGAGATTACTGCAGTAATGTTGTAAAAAGAAGATTCCACCCTATCTGTGTTCCTCTCTGTTTCCTAGTTGATCTTTGTAGCAGTTCTGTGAAACATTTAAAATTGACCAACCAAAAAAAAAAAAAAGGTTCAGTTGAAGAAACCTACCTACCATCTAATATTTCTTCTTGTGTTTGGCTGATCGTCTTATTATTTTGTTATTTTGTGCAGCACATCGTGTTCGGTATGACGGCAATCTTGGCTTGGATTATCCCCGATGTTCCGAAGGAAGTTGACAATCAAGTCAAGAGAGAGAACTTTCTTGCCCGCGAAGCCTTACGGTCAGCAGATCAACAAGATTCTGTCTCTCCAGTCCCTAGGGAAAATTCGCGTGGCCAGGATGAAATGTTGTGAAATGTTGTAGAATGTCGTGTTTTGACAGAAATTATCTCGTAGTCAACGACCTGTAACTGATATCGGTATAGGTAGTTAAATTTGATAATACCACCGTCGCATATTTTGAATAATTTCTTGTTAGAAACGTAAGGCAAAATTCGAAAATCTTCACCAAAAGCCAGTGCTTGTCACAAGCTGCGTGTCATAGCTCGCTGACCCATACGATTGATAGTCTTCATTTATAAACTCAGTTTAATCTTTCGAATAGCGAAAGGTCAGTACATGTCTGTTTTATATAGAATAAAGGGTGTACGTTTTACGTCGGTGGGAGAGTATAGCAGGTAATTTAGTGTTAACAACTGAGTTGAAAACGTAAATTGGCCACCGTAAAGAGTAAAAAAGCTGACATTGCGAGCGTTAGTCCTTCGTCAGAGCGATGGCGAAGGGCTAACGCTCGAAACGTTCTGACGATCTGACTGAAGGGCTAACGCTCGAAACGTCAGCTTTTTTACTCTTTACGGTGGCCAATTTACGTTTTCAACTCAGTTGTTAACACTAAATTACCTGTTTTACATAGATCAGCTTTCTACTTAAATAGTGTAAAACTTTATAGTAAGACTAACACCGTACAAGATTAATAATTTGTATTCATAGTTGGTTTGTGTGGTGACTTTATATGCGAGTAAAGTAACGTGAAATTGCCGTAGGGAACGAACTACTTTTCTTTTGATTCTCAGGTTCGTTTCTTTAGCCTCAACTGAAAGACCTCGAGAATTTAGGACACTTGCTAATACAAAGCTTTTCTATTCCTTCATTACTTATCACACCTTATGTTTACCGGCATTGAGTGGCTTTAAGAGAATATCAGGTCTTTTGGTTGCTTGAGATACAATATTTATTTTTCCAATGAAGCCATCCAAATACGTTGATGCCGTGCTAAGGTAAAGGAGTAAGGATAGATCCATCCCGGACTTGTTTGTAACAGTAATCAAAATAAACTGTTAGGCAATACAGACTTTGTAACAGTAGTCAAAATAAACTGCTAGGCAATACAGACTTTGTAACAGTAATCAAAATAAACTGCTATGCAATACAGACGCCTGCGTAGCTCATGATTTTGTCACTCCGTTTTCCTACGGCGATTGCATTTTCTGTTTGTTTGAGTCACAACATAAAACGCCAACGGGCCAGACGTTAGCGTTATTGATATGCGAAATCTAGTGAGGGATCATATCAATTCGTTTCCACCTTAGTTTTAAAACTAAGGTTTTAAAACTAAGTTCCTTGGATTCGTCGATGCCTGAACTAAGAGAAAATGAAAATTAAAGGGTGTATGGACTCCTGTAGAGGGGCTAGTAATGGCGGGATTAATCAACTAAAAAACCTTAAAGACAGAGCTGAGTGGGTAAGGAGGGAGTTTCTCTCATAGAACTCCGTGGGTTGTCTTGGGGTATCTTAAGGTGGGCACGAGACTTGCAGGGGTCAATGGAAATAGCAAAGCAGCTTTGCACTTTCGTCTCATCAATGTACTTCTGATTTAGTAGGATACGCTGGTTAATTCTCAGTACACTTTTTTTTTTTTTTTTTTTTTTTTTTTTTAATCCATACAGACTCGATGTAGATTGGAGAAGAGCAAAGTACTGTTATTATCACGCCTGAGCTTAACAATCATTCCATGTGCCAATTCTAGGTTGCCAGTTACTTTTACTTAATTTTTTTAGTTTTTTTTGTTTGTTTGATTGATTTTTGTTGTTGGTTTTTTATGCGTTTTACAGTTTTAAGTCTGATAATCCGTCCCGCTCTCAAGGTATTACCGAAACTTTCTTCACTTTTTCCATGAAAGGGAAGTCGCATTCGGTCGAATATAAATCTTAGGCCCCCCCTTTTGTTCCGACAGACGGTCCACAAATAAACTCCTTACTTCTGCTTCTACCTCATTGCAAATCAGATGGTCGTGTGTTGTCTTTATCACTTTTCGCAAAGTAACAAGTCATCTCTAGAAGGCAAAGTAACTTAAACTCTCTCGACGGTTTTATTGATAATCATGTGGTTTAACAGCGTTGCTTACTTAATCACGATTACAATCTCATTGTCCATACATCTTTAAGCCTCTCTGTTGTTTGTTTGTCACAAACGTTTTCACCTTGTTTCAGGAATGTATGTTACTTTTCCAGAGACGGCTTCTAATCGGTGCTACAAAATTGTTCTAAAACCTGATCTTTTTTTCATTGTAAGCAAAAGCAATACATGAAATTTTATTTGACGAGAGAGAAGATTAAAATAGACCAGTATAATGAAACTCGGAAACATGCAAGAAAAAGGACCTCAACCGTCTCCTACCAACATATTGTGTATACATGTTGCAAATGCTAAATGCTATCGTAACTTCTGAGTAAAACAAGAGATAAATACGTGTCTAGGTATCTTTGTATTCAGCGAGTGACTTTTTTTTTTTCCAATTTTACCGAACTAGTTCACCGTAGTCTTTACGATCCTGTGGAGTAACTGAACTTTTTTTTCTGTTTAGTTTTGCTGTCTTTTCTCGCTATCTGCTTATTCCAGCTCGAAACTACAAATCTAAGTGCTACATAGAACATTTATAATTATATTTTAGTTAAGTCACTGCCTGTGTCATATCAAGTAGTTTTACTACTCTGGTTTAGCTGGGACGTTCTTGCTCTCATCATCCTCACCCATTGTGTCTAATGTTTCTTTAGAGAGAGCAGATGGTTCATCTGGAGCTTCTTCTTCTTTTTCTTTTCTTCTTCTTGTTCTCTTTCTTCTTCTTCTCCTTCTTCTTGTTCTCTTTCTTCTTCTTCTTCTTCTTCTTCTTCTTCTTTTTCTTCTTCTTCTTTTTCTTCTTCTTCTCCCTTGTTGTCTTCGTGTTCATTAGCTTCTTCGCTGGTTTCCTTCAAAGGAGTTGATGGTCGGTCCGAGGTAGTTCGATCATCTCTGTCACTACTTTTGGTTTCAAATTCAACGGCCTCTTTTTCTTCTTCACCCTCAAAGGAAGTTGATGGTTGTTCTGTGGAAGCTGCCTGTTGTCCTTCCTTGTCCTGTTCAGAATCCTGCTTTTGTTCTGATTTGAAACAGAAGGAAACAAAACCTTGATATTTGTTAATCGGTAAGTTGATTGATAAGTCAATCAGTTAGACAA